GTGTCTGACTTTTTGCAGTACGTTTTGAACTTGCTGTAAAACAAGGAACTATATACTGTATGTATATATATATATATATATATATGTATGTATCACGCTCTGCTCATCTGCTCATTAAAATCACAAACCCCAGTTTGGAAACCTTGATATAATGTTTAATGCACTTAATGTTGTTAATAACATAGTTTATTTCCATTTGTACTTTTATATCAATACGGTACACAATTATCCTATTTAAATCAATATGATAAACGAGTTAGGTCATAAGCAATCTAAAAATAATCAAAAAGTAGTCCTATTTTATCACCTCAAATGTGTAATGTAATGGTTTATGCTACTAACTATTTTTGCCGTGTAATTTGGAATCATTACTTGTAAGTAATCTACCCAGCACTGCTCATAGATCAGTATGAAATCTCTGTCAGGGCTGCACAAATGTCAACTCCACGTCTCCACTAACTTCCAAAACATCAATCTCCTCCAGTTTAGTGAAACGATGGCTGTAAGTGTGAGTTTGTTCACCATTCACAAACACCTTGTAATGATCATGACTGGAGAAAATGGTGACCTGGAATGCATATAGAAGACAAAGATGATTTTTCCCCAAACTCTACTGCATAGTCATTTTCCAGTGTATTTACAATCATATTCACCATTGTCCATCTGAATAAAGCATACGTTCATGAATCATAAAGTCATATGTTTGCTTACCTGCATCGGTTCCCCTCTTTTTAACAGCACAACTTCAGATCGTTCCTCATCGCCCCATGTCCCATCCTCATAGCTGTTGCACACAACCACATTCTCATCTAAACAGACACTGTAGTAAAATGCAATTCCGGTTTTGTGTCGTAGACTAATCTCCATTCTGTCACAGAAAGAAGAAGAAATTACTTATTTTAAAAACATCTCAGTTTCTGTGATCAGATGAAAGCTGGCATTATGTTATTTCAAGATGATTTATTATGTAAGCATATTATCTGTGAAAGAATGATATTGTCAAACCTGTTTCCCCCGGGATTGAGAAATCCTTGGATGATGAAGATCTTTCCAGGATGTACTCCTCCACAGAAGATGCTTTTATACGGGACCATCTGATTGTAATGAAATATATTTTTATATATCGCAATGTAATACTGTATAGCACATTAACTGCTTAGACCCTTGCCAACTTTACATAATACAATTATCTCCAACACTTAATAAAAAAGTATTTAAATCCTTAAAATAATGTATTTTAAGTGACAATTAAAAATATTAAATAGCATGTAGAGCTCTGGTCAAAAGAAACAATTTGTCAAAAAAAAAATCACAAATTAATCATCAGAAAGTTTATTTTTTTTTGTAAACCACACTGTTGTATCATTCGTGAATATAAATGCTTAAGAGCATCAAATAAGTAATGAAAGTGCTAGACAGATTCCACTCATTCACATACACATGTACACTCTTGATGTAGATGGCACAGAGTTATTAGAGATTCATGCAGATAAGCTGCCTACCGAAGATTTCAGATAACTTACAAAATATCCTGGAGGTGCAGCATAACGGGGCTGTAAATGGAGAAACAAAAAAAACAACAAAAACAGTATCGAAGTGGCAATACATGCATAAGAATAATATAGGTTTGGTTTAAAAACTGATAGGGACATGTTGCTTGGCAGGAAACAACCATTTCATCTGTAATACATACTTTTTGTGATCACTGTGAATATTGTCATAATATTGTTAACTGAATATTTATAATGTCTATTCTTTCTAATTTGGGGATTTTATTGTATTGTGTACGGTGTATATTCAAATGCAATACATTCTTCACCAGTGTCCAGTCTGTATTTAGTGTATCGTATGGCCTGCATAATGTTGTTATCTGACTGCTAATGCAGCCCAATTTCCCCCCACAAGATCAATAAAGAACCTTGATATATATCAAAATAAGAACAAATACACACTGATATTGGTATATACCTAATAGTGGTGAAGTGGTAAAGTACTTTTTTTTCTCACCACAGGATACTGGAAAGCAACTAAACTCAGTTCCACCATTCCACCAATGCAGATGCTGTCCACGTGGGAGAATGGCATACGGTGCTTGTACTCGGAGAAGGGTTTCCCATTGGTACTTATCTAGAAAAAAAAGCCAAAAACATTGGTTTATTGTCCTATCCAATAACAAGTAGGCCTGTAGTTCCATATTAATTATGAAATATGAAACAATGACCTTGTACGTTTCCTGGGTGACGAGGATCTGCAGAGCAAACATCTGGCCTCTCGGGAAGGGAGTTTCATACTTGCGTTCCTCTGAGCCCCAGTGACCATACTGGCAGGTGTTGTGCACAACGTATTCAGATCCTCCCGCATAGCGAGGGTTAAAGTGCAGAACAATATCAGACCCGTGCATGAGGTCCACCTGGAATCTGGAGAAAACAGAATCGAGAGAAGCAGAACAAAAGCTGTACATGTCAAATGCCAAAAGATATAGTTTAAGACAAAAACAAATAAACGCATTGCAGCTGATCTTCTATTTATAACCCTCAAGCTTGAACCAAGAAAGTTAGCATTTGCTTTGACTGTTACCCACCTGCTGGAATGTGGTGAAACTCGTCCACATACAGTAACAATCATGCCATCCAACAATCCTCCATGGATCGGTCTGCTGAATGTGACAGTCTGTGTGGAAGATTTTCATACCAGACCTCTCATAAAATGAGATTATTAACATTCTTATTATTCGGTAACACTTTACAATAAGCTTCATTAGTTAACATTAGTTAACTACTTTAGTTAACATGAACTAAGCATGAACAATACTTCTACAGCATTTATTAATCTTAGTTCATGTTTATGTCAACATTTTTAATGCATTATTAAAATCAAAAGTTGTGCTTGTTCACATTAGTTAATGCGCTGTGAATTAACATGAACTAACAATGAACAACTGTATTTTCAATAACTAACATTAACAAAGATTAATAAATACTGTAATAAATATATTGTTCATTGTTTGTTCATGTTAGTTAATACATTAACTAACATTAACTAATGGAACCTTATTGTAAAGTGTTACCTATTATTCTTATTATTCTTCTTATTAAGAATGTTAATGTTAACAGTTCATTTTGATAGTCCACTTGAGACATTTTACTAAGTATAAGTAACTTTGCAAGTACCTGTGAATGTCAACCTATTATACTGACCCTAACAGTCTACTAATACTCTGAGGAATTTGCTTTAAAAAACAAACAAAAAAAACAACGTATTTTTAAATAATTGGTCACTTACAGGGTTGAAAAATGGCAGTTGCTGAAACAGAGCCATTGTTTCCAAACTTGCTCTCCTCCTGCCTTACAAAATGTCCAGCATCTACAGTTTGGTTAATTTGACCGAAGGTTCACATTGTTAATGTGTAATGTTGGTGTATTTATTATGAGGCCCAAGTGCACCATTTCTGTTTTGTTTGCATATATTGATTGAAGAATAACACAAGCCCAAGTCAAGCATGCATATAATCCTGTATATAATCTTTATCTTCACTTGTGCTTTAAGATGTCTTCTCTTAAAACATAAAAATAGAGCAAAATTCAGGTACTCATATTGAATGATTTATTCAAGGTCTAACTTTCTGTTCGACTGTAAACATACTTCATGTCATGACCAACTCACATAAATAATGTTGTTAGAGAATACAGTTATTCATGTGATATTAACAAAGTATTGATTGTGACCGTTGATCAGGTTCATACTCTGATTCTTGAAGTCTGGGTGTCTAAACTATTTGATGCACTGATTCAGCATTTTCTGTGTACAATGTAATTTTGAAATCATTCATGTTATTCTGACACTGCTGGATCTCATGCTGTAATGTTGTAGAATTACTGTAATTCAATGACATCAAATTATTAACACATTACCCAATCATTTAGAGTTTGAATGAGATCAATCATATTATTATGTCTTCATCAATACATAAACAGCATCACGTGATCATATTTTTTGTGTTCTTCATAAACGCAGTTACAGCAGCCAGAGAAAAACTAATGTTAAAAAGCCAAGGCTCAAGAGCTGTTTCATCCTCCTCTGCTGAGATCTGGACAGATTTAATGTCTTCTTTTATTTCAGTTCATTTCATCTGAGGCTGTGGCTTGGAAATCACTTGTTCTTGTGTTTCTGCTCGTTTCTTCAATATTTTTATTTAATCATTCTAAACATCAGTTGATTGTATTTGACTGTTATTTCCATTAATGGTAAACATGTGGCACACTGTGCTGCCATGCATATCCCCGTTTTTTTTTTTTTTTTTATGCACTGGCAATTTATAGTCTATTAAATCACTCTCTGAAACTTCTGACCTCAATTAGCATCTTGTCTTGTGAGGTAAAGATTGAACCCTGAATGTAGTGTTTAGTTCCCATTTAGAGTAAATGATGTGCCTCTTCTGAATTTATTAAATGAGAATTATATTGTTCAATGTGTGTTTGTAAGAAAATATTTACTGAAGTTATGTCCTGTTTGCTGTACTCATATGTGACAGAAGAGTGTATTAAGAATGGTCTTTTCCTTCTGACAGAACAGAGTATAGTCCTTAAAAAAACACTGGCTCTTGTCTCTATGACAGCGTACTGCTGCATAACACTTTGTTTTGTTAACCTTAGAGGCCCTCAGGGAATGGGCTCTGGCAACAAAAACAGTATCGAAGTGGCAATACATGCATAAGAATAATATAGGTTTGGTTTAAAAACTGATAGGGACATGTTGCTTGGCAGGAAACAACCATTTCATCTGTAATACATACTTTTTGTGATCACTGTGAATATTGTCATAATATTGTTAACTGAATATTTATAATGTCTATTCTGTCTAATTTGGGGATTTTATTGTATTGTGTACGGTGTATATTCAAATGCAATACATTCTTCACCAGTGTCCAGTCTGTATTTAGTGTATCGTATGGCCTGCATAATGTTGTTATCTGACTGCTAATGCAGCCCAATTTTCCCCCACAAGATCAATAAAGAACCTTGATATATATCAAAATAAGAACAAATACACACTGATATTGGTATATACCTAATAGTGGTGAAGTGGTAAAGTACTTTTTTTTCTCACCACAGGATACTGGAAAGCAACTAAACTCAGTTCCACCATTCCACCAATGCAGATGCTGTCCACGTGGGAGAATGGCATACGGTGCTTGTACTCGGAGAAGGGTTTCCCATTGGTACTTATCTAGAAAAAAAAGCCAAAAACATTGGTTTATTGTCCTATCCAATAACAAGTAGGCCTGTAGTTCCATATTAATTATGAAATATGAAACAATGACCTTGTACGTTTCCTGGGTGACGAGGATCTGCAGAGCAAACATCTGGCCTCTCGGGAAGGGAGTTTCATACTTGCGTTCCTCTGAGCCCCAGTGACCATACTGGCAGGTGTTGTGCACAACGTATTCAGATCCTCCCGCATAGCGAGGGTTAAAGTGCAGAACAATATCAGACCCGTGCATGAGGTCCACCTGGAATCTGGAGAAAACAGAATCGAGAGAAGCAGAACAAAAGCTGTACATGTCAAATGCCAAAAGATATAGTTTAAGACAAAAACAAATAAACGCATTGCAGCTGATCTTCTATTTATAACCCTCAAGCTTGAACCAAGAAAGTTAGCATTTGCTTTGACTGTTACCCACCTGCTGGAATGTGGTGAAACTCGTCCACATACAGTAACAATCATGCCATCCAACAATCCTCCATGGATCGGTCTGCTGAATGTGACAGTCTGTGTGGAAGATTTTCATACCAGACCTCTCATAAAATGAGATTATTAACATTCTTATTATTCGGTAACACTTTACAATAAGCTTCATTAGTTAACATTAGTTAACTACTTTAGTTAACATGAACTAAGCATGAACAATACTTCTACAGCATTTATTAATCTTAGTTCATGTTTATGTCAACATTTTTAATGCATTATTAAAATCAAAAGTTGTGCTTGTTCACATTAGTTAATGCGCTGTGAATTAACATGAACTAACAATGAACAACTGTATTTTCAATAACTAACATTAACAAAGATTAATAAATACTGTAATAAATATATTGTTCATTGTTTGTTCATGTTAGTTAATACATTAACTAACATTAACTAATGGAACCTTATTGTAAAGTGTTACCTATTATTCTTATTATTCTTCTTATTAAGAATGTTAATGTTAACAGTTCATTTTGATAGTCCACTTGAGACATTTTACTAAGTATAAGTAACTTTGCAAGTACCTGTGAATGTCAACCTATTATACTGACCCTAACAGTCTACTAATACTCTGAGGAATTTGCTTTAAAAAACAAACAAAAAAAACAACGTATTTTTAAATAATTGGTCACTTACAGGGTTGAAAAATGGCAGTTGCTGAAACAGAGCCATTGTTTCCAAACTTGCTCTCCTCCTGCCTTACAAAATGTCCAGCATCTACAGTTTGGTTAATTTGACCGAAGGTTCACATTGTTAATGTGTAATGTTGGTGTATTTATTATGAGGCCCAAGTGCACCATTTCTGTTTTGTTTGCATATATTGATTGAAGAATAACACAAGCCCAAGTCAAGCATGCATATAATCCTGTATATAATCTTTATCTTCACTTGTGCTTTAAGATGTCTTCTCTTAAAACATAAAAATAGAGCAAAATTCAGGTACTCATATTGAATGATTTATTCAAGGTCTAACTTTCTGTTCGACTGTAAACATACTTCATGTCATGACCAACTCACATAAATAATGTTGTTAGAGAATACAGTTATTCATGTGATATTAACAAAGTATTGATTGTGACCGTTGATCAGGTTCATACTCTGATTCTTGAAGTCTGGGTGTCTAAACTATTTGATGCACTGATTCAGCATTTTCTGTGTACAATGTAATTTTGAAATCATTCATGTTATTCTGACACTGCTGGATCTCATGCTGTAATGTTGTAGAATTACTGTAATTCAATGACATCAAATTATTAACACATTACCCAATCATTTAGAGTTTGAATGAGATCAATCATATTATTATGTCTTCATCAATACATAAACAGCATCACGTGATCATATTTTTTGTGTTCTTCATAAACGCAGTTACAGCAGCCAGAGAAAAACTAATGTTAAAAAGCCAAGGCTCAAGAGCTGTTTCATCCTCCTCTGCTGAGATCTGGACAGATTTAATGTCTTCTTTTATTTCAGTTCATTTCATCTGAGGCTGTGGCTTGGAAATCACTTGTTCTTGTGTTTCTGCTCGTTTCTTCAATATTTTTATTTAATCATTCTAAACATCAGTTGATTGTATTTGACTGTTATTTCCATTAATGGTAAACATGTGGCACACTGTGCTGCCATGCATATCACCGTTTTTTTTTTTTTTTTTATGCACTGGCAATTTATAGTCTATTAAATCACTCTCTGAAACTTCTGACCTCAATTAGCATCTTGTCTTGTGAGGTAAAGATTGAACCCTGAATGTAGTGTTTAGTTCCCATTTAGAGTAAATGATGTGCCTCTTCTGAATTTATTAAATGAGAATTATATTGTTCAATGTGTGTTTGTAAGAAAATATTTACTGAAGTTATGTCCTGTTTGCTGTACTCATATGTGACAGAAGAGTGTATTAAGAATGGTCTTTTCCTTCTGACAGAACAGAGTATAGTCCTTAAAAAAACACTGGCTCTTGTCTCTATGACAGCGTACTGCTGCATAACACTTTGTTTTGTTAACCTTAGAGGCCCTCAGGGAATGGGCTCTGGCACAATGACTTACAAGAACAGCCTCCATTTACATGAAACAGCATTACTGTTGCTTTGGGCATAGTTTTGCATGCTAGTTTCAGGTGAATGGGAAATGCAAATTTGTATTACCTTTAGGTTTATATATATATATACACCGTACGACCTCTCCTCATCACTCAGTAGCACATCACTTTCAGACAAGGGGTCAGAGATTAATGGAAATGTATACAAACATCAATTAAGTTTTCTTATTAATCTTTATGAATGTGCTTAAAAGTGACTCCTTGTGTTAGCAAAATTATATTTTGTTAAAACAAATATGTCATTACAATTGCATGCTTAAAATTTAATTGTGAATTACAAAATATGTATATTGTTAATGAATGTATTTCCAGTGATTATATTCATTAATAGCAATACTCATTTTACAAAAGAATAAGCAGAATGAAGAAGCAGTCGAGCAGCAGACGAGGACAGCAGTTTGTAAGTTTGTTAGCAGTTTGTTTTGTCTTGTTTCTCATTAGATTTCAGCGCGGTTGTCGTTGCTAGGAAACATTGTTTGACTGTTTTACAGTGGAAAATACATGCTCAAGTCGCTTTTGTTCTTGAGCGTATCACAGGACTTTCAGTTTTGGTTTACTAAATAGTAAGGCGTGGCCAAAGCCAGTAAAAGTACTTATTTACCTGTTTGGAAGCACTTGTTAGAAGAAGCAGTCGATCAGCAGAAGAGGACAGCAGTTTGTAAGTGTTTTGTCTTGTTTTCTCATTAGATTTCAGCACGGTTGTCGTTGCTAGGAAACATTGTTTCACTTACTGTGTTTTACCCAGTGCTTGAAGTGGGCCGGTGTTATGGATCGAGTGGGGATCGTGTTAACTACACTCTTAAAAATAAAGGTGCTTCACGATGCCATAGAATAACCTTTTTGTCTAAATGGTTCCATAAAAACCTTTAACATCTGAAGAACCTTTCTGTTTCACAAAAGGTTCTTTGTGGTGAAAAAAGGTTCTTCAGATTATAAAAAGGTAAGAAAGAGATGGTTCTTTAAAGAACCTTTGACTGAATGCTTCTTTGTGGAACCAAAAATGGTTTTCTCTGGCATCGCTTGAAGAACCTTTTGAAGCACCTTTATTTTTAAGAGTGTAGGGACATGCGTGTGCACACAAATAGTTTTACTTGAGTTTCCGGCAGCAGATGTTAGACCGCCACAGATTCATCACAGGGAATTTTCAACGGAACAGATTTCAAAGCTTTCTACATTATTTGTGAATGTTTGTATTGTAGCGTCTGGACCAATCAAACACACAATATATATTTTGTTTTTATATTTAACAAATACTCTGTAACCCCCCTCAGTTAACAAGCCATACGAGGACCCATGAACCCTTCCCCCCGGAATGCGTAACACCCCAGGAAGTCGAACAGGCCTCTTTTACAAAGGTGTGTTTGAACTAAGAATCTGACATATCCCTAAAGGTGTAGATCTGTTGAATATACATGCAAATGGTTCCATAAAATTCATTCCTTATGCCTCTTTCCGTACTGAGTTAAACTTTAACCCTTTCCTATACCAACTGTATGTGTGTGTGTGTGTGTGTGTGTGTGTATGTTAGACCAGTTTATGTGTGTATGTAGGATGTTAGACCAGTTTATGTGTTTATGTAGTATGTTAGACTAGGTTAAGTGTTTATGTAGTTAATAAAACTTTACTTGTATCACACTTGACGTGTTCATTGTTTGCTCATAACCGGAGTCACTAATCATGCAGATTTACGTTACAAGCTTTTGTAGAATGGTACAGTAAGAAAGTTATTTCCCTTGACCAGAAAATTAACGTTCTTAGAATTGACAAGACAGTTGACCCTGAGAGGTCAGCTAAATATCTACAGCGGATCTAAAATATTCATAATTAATCATAACTAGTTATGGTTAATTATTCATATTTCCCATGAGCTGATTCGCTACAGTATATTGGACTCTGTTGTTTCCCTTGTTGATGTCCCAATGTATCAGACGCTGTTTAAGGGAAGTTTTAATGCATTTTCATGTTGCATCTCACAGACCACGTCCAGATTATTTAGGCTACATTCGTTTCAATGTGTGTTTTTTTTCTTTTCTTTTTTTTTCTAATGACAATTGTAAATGCATTAAATAAGGTGTAGGAAGTCAGCCCTAGGCCCATATGCAAAAAATTTGTATGGGCCCCCCCAAACATTATTGGCTCCAACTCGGTAAACTTATTGTTGATTTTTCTGAAGTGATTAACCTTACCTGTATTCACAAGCTGTTTTATTTACATTATAAATGCTTGGAAATAATATTTAACGTTTTCAAGTCCATTCATCATTTGTAGCATGCAAGCCACCCAATAATCACAATACGTTTTGTGCTTTGTTACTTGTATTAAAACACAAAGTGTCAGCCTTCTGTCAACTTTATAATAAAATACTATAAACAATAAATATGTTTTTACGCTTCTAAATTTGTAGTGAGATAACTATAGTCGTCTCGGTTCTAGCAGCATGTGAATCAATTATATTTTCATCTTTAATATTTGCAGCACGAAATAAACATGAATAAATATTTGAATGCATGTTGAAAAAATCAGAACAATTTAATACAAATGAATGTTTCATGAAATCGATCAATTAGAGTTGCAAAAAACGTCAATAAGCCTACCTTTTATTGCTGTTTTTTATGTTAAATGTGAAGAATGACAGGTTGGATGCCACATACTTTTTATTTATTTATTTATTGATTGATTGATTGATTGATTGATTGATTGATTGATTGGCGGAGTATAGGTGGAATTCTCACATTAACTTCACGCAATAGGCCTATAACCTGATTTTATTATCGTAATTTTGACTTCATTCTTAAAATATTATGATGTTAATCTTATTTTTCAACATGGTACTAAAATGCCGCCATAGGCTATTTGTACTGCATGCAAACACACTCTTGGCACAGAAGCCCAAAAAACTAAAAAATAAATAAATAAAATACTAAGGAGATATTTGAATTATTTATTAATGAACTAGTATTTTCTGAGTCAGTGTCACAAGATGAAGTTGACGATCCTGACTCATCTCCTCAGGATGCGCACCTTTAGAAAGAAATACATCTTTATGGATTAGCCTATATAATGAAATAGTTTTGTTTTCTATTTGAATTAGTTCATTTCAAAGTATTTAAAGCATTCTATTAGATATATTTATGCCTGTGAGGAGGCAAGTATTCGCTGAGTTTCGGTTCATCATTGTGAAGCGCTCCTGCTCAAGACCAAGATGACAAAAAGTGCATTTGTTTGTTGTCTTGAATTGAACAACTTGAATTTAACAAACATAAAATGTTTCAAACATATTTCTAAATTAACTTAATAAAGAAACGAAAAGAAATATAACCACTTTGCCATTAAAAAACAAAACTGGACTAGCCTATTTGCTGCAATAGCAGCTGTGTAAAGGGGAAGAAAGAGAGAGAGAGAAAAAAGACATGGGCTCGGGTCAGACTCAGGCCGAGAATATTCTTATAAGCTGTCGGAAGGGCCTGGCCCGTGCAGGGCTCTATTCATTCCCTCGTTTCAATGAAAGGTTCCCCCTTGGCTTGGCGGGCCCACAATACGCCCATATGCATCTGCATACCCTGCATTCAAGATGCTACTCCCCTGGACTGCAGAAAGATACTAACTTTTCAATCTGCTAAGTTACTGACTTTATCTGCTGTTAAAAATGAGCCATCCATTTATCATATCATCATGCAAAACTAAGAATTAGAATCATTGTAATGTGACGATCAAATATAGGTGCGAGCGGGCGGATAATTTGAAGCAGAGGACTCGGGTGAAGTTTGAGCTCATCCGCGCATCTCTACACTACACTGACCTGGGTCGCCAGTAGCAAACAATGGAGTGTGCTCTGCTGGAGAAACTAAGTAATTACACCATTCAGAAGCATTTAATCTGCATTATATGTTCTGTAAAAAAAAATAATAATAATATCGGAGGCATATCGGCGGTATATTCGCTGATACCGATATATCGGCGACAGGCTCATATCGGCCGATAATATCGGCTAAACAATATCGGTTGGGCTCTAATGAATATGCACTAAATATACATCCCAGACACCAGGATTCATCAAGAATCTTCACAGCAGATGCTTCTATCATTTTATTTTCAATTTGTATTTTTTGCTGTTCATTGCAACTTGTAATCTCAGTAAAATTTCATGATCACAAATTGTTGTTAGTTTGTAGTGAAGTGAAGGTTGCATTTTAACCACTTTTAACCAGTAACTTAATGTTATGTATATTGACATTATTTATTTCTAAAAATGCTCTGTATTTTTGACATCTGTGATGCTATTTGAACCAGAATAACAAAGGTTACATCCATCTCTCACAACTGATGTGCAATTTCATTTTAGAAAGAAAAATGACTCCTTTGACGAATCAGTCTCACGTCAACTCAGAGGATCATGGGAGGATGCAGCAATGGACACAAGAAAACACTATATGTACATACATTAACTGAGCTAATATTTTACTACAAAGTTAAAGTTTTTAAAATGTCTGATCTCAGTCTTAATTAATAACATGGGTAATTAATAATATACAAATAATTTGATTCACAGTATCAACTTCCCTGCGGATTGTTCTGGTGGGTAAAACTGGATCAGGAAAGAGTTCAACAGGAAACACCATCCTGGGTCAGAAGTGTTTTAAGGAGGAAGTTTCACCAGAGTCAGTCACTACAACCTGCGAGAGACAAGAAGTACAGATTGGTGAAAAGAGCATCTCAATAATAGACACTCCAGGCCTGTTTGATACATCCATATCAGAACAAGAACTGAAGAATGAAATAGGTCGATGTGTAGAAATGTCTGTTCCTGGTCCTCATGCGTTTCTGCTGGTCATCAGACTGGGTGTGAGATTCACAGATGAAGAAAAAAACACAGTGAGATGGATTCAGAAGAACTTTGGAGAAGAAGCTTCTCGATACACCATCATTCTGTTCACTCACGCTGATTATCTCAAGGGAAAATCATTACATGAGTATTTCACAAAAAGTAATGATCTCAATGCTCTTGTTAATGAGTGCAGCGGCCAATATCACTCATTTAACAATGAAGACACGAGGAACCGCGATCAGGTCACTGAACTGCTGAAGAAGATTGAGAAGGTAGTGAAGAAAAATGGAGAAAAGTACTACACTAATGAGATGTATAAGGAAGCTCAAAGGAAGTTAAACAGGGACCAGTTCTGTAAGTGTTTGTATTTTTCTGTGTCTTTGAAACTTCTTATCATCATGATATAAACAGCAGTGCAGTTTTTCTTTTTTTAATAAATCTGCAAAAATGTCAACAATTCTGTGTTTTTCTGTCAATATGGGGTGCTGTGTGTACATTAATGAGGAAAATAATTAACTTAAATGATTTTAGCAAATGGCTGCAATATAACAAAGAGTGAAAAATGTAAGGGGGTCTGAATACTTTCCGTACCCACTGTATATATATAATTTTTATTTTTTTTGATCAGTCCCACAACAGTCGCTGTGTCTGTGTTTAATTTCATTTTGTCTTGGAATCATTACATTTTGTTTAATCTTTTTTTATATATATTGTGAATTGTCAATCTATTTTATGTATGGATTGTAATTACTGTGTTTTGTATGACATTCTGATTGCCAGGGTCTGTGAAACCTAGGATTGTGCTGCTGGGTAAAACTAGATCAGGGAAGACTTATACAGCAAAAACCATTGTGGGCCAGGAGAGGAGAAATTCACCAGATTCTGCTACTGAAACCTGTGAGCTAAAAGAAGTTTGTGTGGCTGGAAAGATTGTGAAAGTAATCGAAACTCCAGGACTGACTGATGCACCTGAGAAGAAGATAAAAGCTGAATTACAGCATCTTGTCTACATGTCTGCTCCTGGTCCTCTTGTGTTGCTGCTGGTCATCAGACTGGACAAAACATTCACAGAAGAGAAGAACACAGTGAAATTCATTCAAGAAAACTTTGGAGAAGATGCCTTATGTCACACCATCATTCTGTTCACTCACGCTGATCAGCTGAAGGAAGAGTCATTAGATGAGCATATCAGAGACACTCCAGATCTACAGGCGTTTACTGAGAGTTTTGGTGGCAGATTTCACTCATTTAACAATAAAAACACGGAGAACCGCTCTCAGGTCTCTGAACTGCTGGAGAAGATCGAGAAGATGCTGGAGAGAAATGGAGGGAAGCACTGCACTAATGAGACATTTGTGAAATATCAGGAAGATATTGACAGCGGGAAAGAGGAGAAAGTCAAAGAAAACCCGTTAAATTGGTGGAAAGGAGTGCTTGTTTTCTTCGTAGGAGCGCTAGCAGCTGCAGCAGTAGTTAAAAGTGGACTTAAAGGATGAAGAACATCTGGAACAACAACAGCAAAGCAATACCAACAAACAGCTGGGAAATCCTTTTTAATTGACTTCATTAGAGATTCTAACAATAATAGTGGATTTCTATAATATATGATGTATTTTTCCTAATTATTTTATTAGGCTGGACCTAAACACTTTATTGCTCATCAAACATAACAAGAATGTTAAAAATGTTATATGATTTCAGACTAAAAATAAAGGAAAAATGTTTTAATTTTGCAGTTGCCATTGTCAGTAATCATCAATTAAAGTAGCTTTCAGCCTGTCAACCATTTAGGAACTTATTTATTTATTTTAATGTGCAGTCATAATTACAAGCTCTTTGTGGGTTTACTTCCCTCAACACTGTAAATGCTATGCTCTGTGACACTTTCAGGGGTTCTCATCTCTGGCCCTCGAGGTCCACTTTCGAGTTTAACTTCAACCCTGATCAAACCCACCGGCCTGTAACTCTCTAGTGATCCTGCAGAGCTTGATGAGCTTGTTCAGGTGTGTTTGATTAGGACTGGAGCGAAACTCTGTGGGAAAGTGGACCTTGAGGGCCAGAGTTGAGAACCCTGGTTTTATTTGATGTTTTAACAACCCATTCAGCTCAATGGTATAAGTCTGGGGCGTGACTATCTGTAATGAACGGTTTGAGTGGGAATATAGTTTGAATATTACAGAGGTAATCATTTCACGATAGATGGATATTATTCCCAAAATATGAAGACCTGTGAAAATAAAAATAGAGAGCATGACACTATAATGAACACTGGCATCGCATTTTCACGGTGGATTTTGAATGAATTGTTGATTCGATGAAGAAACCAAGCTTTCTCGACAGGTAAGCTCAATCATTACTACATGATTTAAACAACTTAGTTTTAACATTTCCCTGAAGAATCATATTTTTCATGCACTGGACGTCCACCTATTATTCAGTCCGCTGATGTCACCAGTTTCAAGGTTTTAGTGTAAATGATAAATGTCATTGGACAGTGTATTGAGAGTTAGCATTGATTTGACCTGTTAAAACATTTATTCTATAGTCTGGTAGATATTGTTTGTGTAAAGTTGCTTCTAAGCGTTTACAGTTGGTGGAGGAACTAAAGGGGTATGGGGATGGAGGCTGCGCAGAAGTCCAAGAAATCCCATACGTCATTCACATGGTGCTTCACCATGGTGTTGCCATGAGTCTGCTGAAGTTACGCTTGCAAGAATATAATTCTTCTTTTGGGTGGAGTCTTGTTGGTCTCTGGCAGATCCGGTTCTCATGAGTGTCACTGAGGGTGACTCACCCGTTCATTTTACCTCACTCGTTCTTAACCTGTTCTCATGGGAAAAAAAATACTCTGTGTACTTGCAATTCTGGCAAACCTGAAATAGGCTACATTGCTGCAGGTACTTCAGCTTCTAGAAGGAATCTATTTTTGTTGGTAAACTCATTCTTCTCTCATTACTCCTCCATCTGAACTAGGCTATATATATCAAACCAGTTTGGTCAGTTTATAAGTATGTATTGTATGTGATTGCAAGAGATTTGCATCACAATTGTAAAATATTTATAGATACAAAATGTCTCCAGTTCATATATTCATTCCTTTAAGTTTGTTATATCACTCATTTAACAATGAAGACACGAGGAACCGCGATCAGGTCACTGAACTGCTGAAGAAGATTGAGAAGGTAGTGAAGAAAAATGGAGAAAAGTACTACACTAATGAGATGTATAAGGAAGCTCAAAGGAAGTTAAACAGGGACCAGTTCTGTAAGTGTTTGTATTTTTCTGTGTCTTTGAAACTTCTTATCATCATGATATAAACAGCAGTGCAGTTTTTCTTTTTTTAATAAATCTGCAAAAATGTCAACAATTCTGTGTTTTTCTGTCAATATGGGGTGCTGTGTGTACATTAATGAGGAAAATAATTAACTTAAATGATTTTAGCAAATGGCTGCAATATAACAAAGAGTGAAAAATGTAAGGGGGTCTGAATACTTTCCGTACCCACTGTATATATATAATTTTTATTTTTTTTGATCAGTCCCACAACAGTCGCTGTGTCTGTGTTTAATTTCATTTTGTCTTGGAATCATTACATTTTGTTTAATCTTTTTTTATATATATTGTGAATTGTCAATCTATTTTATGTATGGATTGTAATTACTGTGTTTTGTATGACATTCTGATTGCCAGGGTCTGTGAAACCTAGGATTGTGCTGCTGGGTAAAACTAGATCAGGGAAGACTTATACAGCAAAAACCATTGTGGGCCAGGAGAGGAGAAATTCACCAGATTCTGCTACTGAAACCTGTGAGCTAAAAGAAGTTTGTGTGGCTGGAAAGATTGTGAAAGTAATCGAAACTCCAGGACTGACTGATGCACCTGAGAAGAAGATAAAAGCTGAATTACAGCATCTTGTCTACATGTCTGCTCCTGGTCCTCTTGTGTTGCTGCTGGTCATCAGACTGGACAAAACATTCACAGAAGAGAAGAACACAGTGAAATTCATTCAAGAAAACTTTGGAGAAGATGCCTTATGTCACACCATCATTCTGTTCACTCACGCTGATCAGCTGAAGGAAGAGTCATTAGATGAGCATATCAGAGACACTCCAGATCTACAGGCGTTTACTGAGAGTTTTGGTGGCAGATTTCACTCATTTAACAATAAAAACACGGAGAACCGCTCTCAGGTCTCTGAACTGCTGGAGAAGATTGAGAAGATGGTAGAGGAGAACGGATGGAGGTACTACACCAGTGAGATGCTGCAGAAAACTCAGAGAAAGAAACAGTTCTGTAAGTGTTTGTGTCTTTGAAACATTTTATCATCATGATGTTAACAGTATTTCAGTGATTAAATCTATTAATGTTGCTCACAATGGCCCTCATTTATCAACGTAGAAACAAACACAGAAATCATCTTACGACAGGGTTCACATGTGATTTATGAAACATTTGTATGCTGCTAATCCAATCATATGAGCAATTGGACGTTTATAAATGTGGCTACTGAAAACAATCGCCATTTAGGCAAGGCAAGGCAAAGCAAGTTTTTATATTTATATAGGGCATTTCAGTAATTCAAAGTGCTTTACACAAAAAAAATGAGTTAAAATCATCATAAAAATAATCACAACAATAAAAGCTAAGAATTATTTTTTTTTAAATAGATTTAAAATTAATTAAAAAGGTTAATAATAATAATAATAATAATAATAATAATAATAAATGAGGATACATTAGACTAACTATCAGGCTCAGAGGGCAAGTGTCCCCTCAGATTTTTAAGCCAAATGGATTTTGAATGCAGCCTTTAAATATTTTTACATTTGATATGATCACACTGGCTTGATTAGAACGTTCATTGCGACAAATCATCAACCGCTCAATTCAAATCTGCATTAATGCTTTGGCTGGCACTGAGCCAGAGACGTTTTCAAACATACCATTTTTAATTTATGTTTATTTTAAAAGAAAATGTAAAAAGAAATTTTAAGAAATACAGAACACATACCAAACTGTGTTTTGAGAGGAAAAAAACAAATAAGTCGCGTATAATTATACACGTATTATTATTATTATTATTATTATTATTATTATTACATTCAGAAATGTAATTTGGCCTTCTCCAGGCCACGGACTTGAGACTAGTGATACAATTCACTGTGGGATTTTCTCACTCAAACCACTGCTTGCTGCTACTTCTGATTGCTTTTAGAGGGAAAAACTGCTGTTCTAGGATCAGTTTTTTCAGCCCCAAATCCAAAGGATCAGAAATCTTGGCTGGCTCTAGATCTGCAGCTGTGGGAAACGTAACTGCACAAAGAAAATGCCTTTATGCAGGAAATTATATTTTTCAATAAACAGTTTTTAAATAAAAGTCAAGCAATGTAATTGATAAATTACAATGTTTTATTAATTTTGTAATCACATTAAATACAAATTAATTTGTATTAAATATTTTATGACACCCATATCCAGTACTATGATGCATGGCCCAAAACACAGGATTTGGTTGCATTAAGTAAGGTGGTATGCTTGCTTTTTGTTAAAATTAACAGTGGTTTGTCAATGTTGCTTTAATAACAAATAACGTATCTGGATCATTTATGCTGTTGCTTCAACAGCTTGAAACTATTTCATTGTTACAGCTGTTATAAATCTAGCCTATTTAAATGTTTGTTTAAAAGGGGAAGCACACCGTCTTAGCATTACCGTGGAGTTGGTTCACCCTCCGCCTATAGGGCCATTGTCTGTTGTCTACATCAGCTCTGCATCAGTTCGATTACTCTTTCATATTGTATTGATGTAATTGCATATGTAATTATATTACAGTTGTTTATTGTGCTTAATTTGGAGTTTTTTTTCCCCTCATATATCTAGATTGTGATCTTTGTTTTAATTGACATTCTGATTGACAGGGTCTGGGAAACCGAAGGTTGTGCTGCTGGGTAAAACTAGATCAGGAAAGAGCTCTGCAGGAAACACCATTGTGGGCCGAGAGTATTTTAAGAGGAGAAATGTATCAGAGTTTGTTACTAAATCCTGTGAATTACATAAAGCATGTGTTGCTGGAAAAAGCATGCAAATAATCGACACTCCAGGACTGACTGATGGATCAGGAAAGAAGATAGCGGAACAAGTTAAGTTTTTCAGGAAGCGTTTTCATGGTCCATTTTTCGGGAAGCGTTTTCATGGTCCTTGTGTGTTTCTGCTGGTCATCAGACTGGATGAAAGATTTATAGATGAAGAGAAAAACACAGTGAAATGGATTCAGAAGAACTTTGGAGAAGAAGCTATTCGTCATACTATCATCCTGTTCACTCATGATGATCAGCTGAAGGGAAACATATTAGATTATATCAGAGAAAGTAATGATCTCCAGGTTCTTGTTAGTGAGTGTGGTGGCAGATTTCACTCATTCAACAATAAGAACATGGAGAATCGCTCTCAGGTCTCTGAACTGCTGGAGGAGATTGAGAAGATGGTCCTGATCAGGGAACGAGAACAGCACTTCACTGATGAGATGGACCAGGAAGCTCTGTTCTGTGAGTGTGTTTCTTTCTTTGTCTGTGGTTTACTTGTTTATTGTAGCTAATTTACTTTTTTTAAATTTATTATGTATGGATTGTAATCACATTTTTATTTGACATTCTAATTGTCAGGGTCTGAAAATCCTTGGATTGTGCTCCTGGGTAAAACTGGATCAGGAAAGACCAGTGCTGTGGAAACCATTGTGGGACGAAAGAGTTTTACTAAAACCTGTGACATACAAGAAGTGTGTGTGGCTGGAAAGAGCATGGAAATAATCGACACTCCAGGACTGACTGATGCACCAGAGATGAAGATAAAGGATGAAATAGAGACGTTTGTCAACATGTCTGCTCCTGGTCCTCTTGTGTTTCTGCTGGTCATCAGACTGGATGAGATATTCACAGATGAGAAGAAAAACACAGTGAAATGGATTAAGAAGAAGTTTGGAGAAGAAGCTGCTCGTTTCAGCTTCATTCTATTTACTCACGCTGATCAGCTGAAGGATAATTCATTAGATGAGCATATCAGAGAGAGACTGTATCTACAATCACTGATTCACAGCTGTGGTGGCAGATTTCACTCATTCAACAAAAATCAGGACAAAAATGATCAGAGTGAGGTCATAGGGCTTCTGGAGAAGGTTGATAAAATAGCAGAGGGAAATGACTGGGAGGACTACACAAATGAAAGATTAAAAAGCACAGGGCTTCATAAAGTTGCAGCACTTGGTACAGCATTCATAGTTATAGGAGGTGTCATGCTGGGAGTAACACAGTTGGTCTTAGCACCAATAACATTGATTGCAGCAGGAGGAGCAGCTGTCGTATCATTCTATAGATTTGCTAAAAATGGCTGACAATTTTGAAAACTATTATGACTGTTATATGATATATTTCCCTGATATATTTTCCTAATTTAAAGCTTTTCCTGTAGAGTACGTTTCACTTTCGGTTTCACTTTAGCGGAAACACATCAGCATTCATGTTTCTTTCCTATTGATCACACCTGAACGGACAGAAGAAAGGACAGAGGTGTTTGATGATTTCCTGCTGAGCATTTCCCATTTTAACAAATAGTAGAAGAAAACTTTGTATAGTACTTTATATACTTTATATAGTAACATGAACGGCGGAACATTCAAAAACATTTTCTGACTGTTGTATTGTTTTTTTGTTTGTTTGTTTTCTTTTTGTGAGAAAAACATGATTTCCATAAAGGGGTCATGGGATGCCCATTTTCCACAAGTTGATATGCTTCTTTAGGGTCTTAATGACAAGTCAGTAACATAGTTTGGTTAAAATGTCTCAATGGTAGTGTAAAAAACTAAATTTTTACCCTGTCAAAAACAGCTCTTGTCAGAGAAAGCTATTCTGTAGCATTTTGCTTTAAATGTTAATGAGATCTGCTGACTCCGCCCCTCTCTTCCTGTTTACTTTAACTGCAATCATCGTGAAACTTGCTAATTAGAACCTTGTTAGGAACGGCGATGTGCAACGATTCATTAAAAAACCTTACACTCACTTCTTCTGGAGGTGAAGCTGGATCACAAATGATTTGCGCGAGCACAGACGCATTTATGTAGATCGGGGGCGCATTCCCTTCAGAAATAAATGTAATCCACTGCGTCTTCAGCGGCTCAGATGTTGGGAGTAAATGACGACTGCTATGTTCATTATTACATCCAACAACAGAAGACCTCAATCGCTTAGGAGTCATTCTTGTCTACATGCGCTCCAGCGGTGAAACAATGGCGGACTGATGACAGTCACTCAGGGCGGGTCTAAGGTAAGACACCAGTCCAGTCTGTGCTGAAACGCTACTGTCAATCAAACTATCGTGGGAGGGGCCTGTTTTGTGACGTCACACAGACAGGCATCTGAGATCGGCTCGATTTGAGAAAGGGGTAAAGATTTTAGTAGATAAAAAAAAACCTGGGTGAATTTTTATCATTATAGGGTGGTTGTGTACACACACTGCCAACACACATTTCAGTTCAAACAACTTGTAAAAGTGCATGTAGCATCCTATGACCCCTTTAAAAATATAGTCTAGTATCATACAAAAACACTATACTTTTGTTGATAATAACCTGAGTATGTTGTCTAAGATGAACATCCTAAAGACAAATGCAGGTTCTGAAACCCCTGCTAAAAACAGCTTATGCATAACATAGTGTGTTATGCAATTGTCTATAAATATACATTTTATTGCAATTGTGACTCATATCAGATTCATGTTGAGATGCTACAGCAGCACTTCAAAAACACTTTGCTGTGATCAAAGTAATATTGTTTAAATTGATTTCTGTGGATCTCATTATTTGTGCAGCAAATTTTCATCTTGCTCATCTTATCTTCTGTAGCGGATCAGCTCATGGGGAAATATGAATAATTAACCATAACTAGTTATAATTAACTATTCATATTTTAGATCCACTCCACTATTGTGTACCAGTTCCGGAATTTCCAAGTCGATGCTCTCATTTCTCTTGGCTTGTGGCTTAATGTCCTTGTTTTGAACATTATTCTTTGTTTTGTCAGTTTTGCAGAATAGGTGTCAAGGTGACAAGGTTACATTACAGGTTACAAAGGTTTCACGCTGATTGTCTTGATGCAGAAAGAGGCAAAGAAATGCAGAGAAAGAAGCAGGTAAACATTTAGCATTCATGACGAACATCTGACATGTCCTTCCTCTGTTTGGTCTCTGTTTTCATCATTTCACCTCTAATGGATGAGAGACTCACTGAAACACTGTAAAACAATTCTGTTTTTACTTCATTTAGTCACATTACTTTTGTAAAACATTGAATGTTTTCTTTTGTTGCTTGTGTGTTGTTCTTGCTTGCTTTATTGTAAATGTTCAGATCAATATTCTGATCTGGAATCTATAATGATATTTTATCGATGTTATGTATAAGGCATCAGCATCCAGGAATCTTAAAGTCAAGGGCTTTCTTTAGCTTTCAGACAAGTGTCAGAGGACCAGAGACAGCATGACAAAAAGTATCAATGCTTTCTTCTCTCTTTCTATCATCAGGAGTAAGAAATAACACACATAAATCATTGTGTTTGTTATGCACTAGAACAGAAAGAGACTAGCAGTCTAGATATTTAAGCCAGACAGGCAGTCAGACACACCTCTGATGGTTGAGGATTTCTTGTAAATCAGTGCTGTTCCTGTAAGAGAATTGTCTCTCAGTGTCTAGTTACAGTGTTTTTCTGCCAGCCCAGTTGGACCAGTTTTACATGCTCTGTCAACATTTAACTACCACAAATGTTACATGTATTGAGAGGCTTTTGCCTGTAATGTAAGAACAGTAGAGGACAGACAGGAAAGTAGGAAGGAGAGAGGGTCGAGTCCTGACAGAGATCAGACTCAAACATGCACCCTGAACATAATAAATTACATACGATTTTTTCAAATATAGAATATATAGATATATTATTTTCAAATAAAGAGAAAACATGTCAAATAACTGCATTTATAAACACTGGAAAACAAACTTTACTGACCGGTTTGTATTTTTCATATTTAGACCAGATATAAAGAGCCATTACACAGCTGCATTTGCGTACATTATGACAGTGTTACTGCATGTTGATAAAAAGAAAAAAAAAAAAATCACCTGCACTTTTTGTCTTAGTATAATTCAATTTTAACCTCAGCAAGATGTAATTTGTCAGATAGTTTGTGAGCATGTTTTGCTTTCGGATCTCTCAGTCATGTTTTGTTTTGTGCCATCTGTATTGAACTTTGGTATTATTTCCTATAGTTTATGTGCAACAGAAATCAGCTTGCCTATAAACTGTGCAAATGAATGCCAAATGTTGTTACAGATAAACAACTGAAATGACTTTTTTCTTGGTCTCATGTTTTGATTGGTTGAGCTGTCTGTGTGACGTGCACACACAAGTGTGTGATATAAAGTTCTCACTTCAGTTTGAGTGACAAACCCATTGCGTGCTTACAAATAATAACAACAATAATAGCAAATAAGAGATTGCATGATTCACAGCTTTCTGATAACAGAAACAAAATGAGCGAAAGAGGTGAGCATCTACAGGTTTCCAGCATTGCATAACCTAGCAATAATATATAGGTACATTTATTCTCCAATACCTATAAAAATATCACATTGTTTCCTCGTAGTACCTCTAATTTCAAAAGAAGATGACATTTATGTGGCAGGTAAGACCCATTTTGTCATTTCTCTTATCAGTTATTTTTAAGTAAGCATATGGCTGCGAAAGAGTCAGTTTAATTTCTGCCAGTTAAATTCAGCATTTGGGAAGTTTGCCTTATTCTGCACAATTACAAATAAAACAATAAAGTATAAATGTACAAATGTGTTTGGAAAACAAACGTGTTACAGCCTGCTGCATTCGCTACGCAGAAAACAAACACACACACACACAAACACACACACACACACACTCACTCATTGTTTTGATGTATAAATGCAGAAAGGTTTCTGTAAGGGTTGATTTGATGGAATATAACATTCGTACAGTATGAAAACCATGTCTAAGGAGTGTCCTCATAAAACATTCAAATCCAACATGTATGTGTATATACTTCTGAAAGTCATATTTGTACTGCTAGAATAAAGTATCATTCAAGATCAGTTACATTTCTGAGTAATGTCGATCTGTTACAAATGAAGTTCACTGTGATTTTAGAAATAGAAACATCTACTGCAATTAGACAAATTAAAAAGACGTCCCTGAATTTGTCTCGACTAAATCAGAGGCTCGTGGGAGGACACAGAAAACGACAGGAGACAACACAATGATCCAGTGACGGCTTGATTCAAAAATTCAGATCTCAGTCATGATTATTTTTAGTCATGAAGAGATGACTGACTTATAGCGATGAGATGTTCCAGGAAGCTCAGAGAAAGAAACTTCAGAGAAAGTTCTGTATGTGTGTTCATGACTTTCTTTGTCTTAAAAACATATTATCGCAATTATATAAACAGTAGAGCAAGAAAAAAATCTGTTCAGGTTATGCATATGTTGTATTGATGAGTCCTGCACCATAGCATGCCCTGATTGTTGTCAATCAACACAGAATCCGTTCAATTTCAGATAAGTTCTGTTTATATAAACCCTAAACTTTGTGATCAGATTCTCTCAGATTCATTTAGATGTGCATTGCATGTATTCCAATCACAATGTCAGCACAAATGCATTTACATTTAATCTTTTAGCAGACAATTTTTTACAAAACGACTTACAAATAAGGACAATAGAAGCAATCTAACAACATATACGATGTGTTGACCGCCCCATTCAGAAACAGAGAAAGCCATTGCAATAATGTCACTGTTAGCTTAACTTTCATTTTTGCCTGGATTGTGATATATATATATATATATATATATATATATATATATATAGTATGTCAAAGCTTTTTTTGCAATCATTCAGTAAATATTCAGCCTGTACACTGACCAGTTCATAAGATGTAAATAAACACATGCCGTTCATAAGATGTAACCCTAAATAACATAAACCACTGTGCACATGCACAAGATTTATTTTTTTTTTTATTGAGAATTAGGGTCGAAAAAAACAGAAATAAATTCTTGAATTCAGATTTTTTAATTACATACTAATATTGTTATTATACTATTTGAATGTTAAAGAATTTCAGATGAGGTAAGGGGGGAACTATGTTATTTTGCCTCAATTAAAGGCTTGTCTCCCAAGCCTTTGACCAAATATAGCCAAATCAAGCACCCGGAACCGTCTGTGCCAAGTGTGCAAATGCACAGCGCCTGGATTATTAGGTTGCATGGAAATGTATATGTTTCATTTGTATGTTGTACCAAACTAATTAATTCTATTTAGTTTACTTGTTTTAATGTCTGGATTGTAATAGTGCCGTTTTATTTGAAACTTTGATTGGCAGGGTCTGGGAAACCAAGGATTGTGATGCTGGGTAAAACTGGATCAGGAAAGACCAGTGCACTATAAACCATTATGGGACAAGTTTTGAGAGAAGAGATTTGACAAATACTGAAACCAGTGAGCAACAA